GAAAGATTTATCTTTTTGAGACAGACAAACTTTGCCGAGTGTGACACCCTTCAGTTTGGTCCATGTCCTGAGGCGTCTGGCAGCCTGACCAATGTTTCTCAGAGATGTATACTTTTCCATGGCGTGCAGGTACCCGAGGAGTGGCCTCCTCCCTTCCTCCACAGACAGGACTTTTGGTTGTTTCCATTATTTTTGCTCTCATAGAAGTCGTTGCGGAAACGTGGGTGAAGGTGTGCATTTTCCCAGAAACCTGCTCTTCTGCAAACAATTTCCGAAAGCTGTACCACCCATCACAGTCTGCTTAAGATGATGTGTTGACCCCCTACCATGTACCACGATCGTTCTTGCCTATGAGACATTTGTGGGGGGACCAGCCTCCCCACATCTGGATGGGCCCTGAGGGGCGGTTGTGCCATTGAGAGGTACATGAAAGAGACGTGCGCCCTGGCCTGCAAGGGCTCACCTGTTCTGATGGGGACCGGAATGAGAATGAGGCCATCATGTATTCTCTCACATCTCCCCAATTTACGTAATCTCGGGCATGCAAGCCACGGGAAGCACATCCGTCACAGGAAGGGGTTGTATTAGAGGCATGTGCGTACCAGAAGGGGGGTGAGCCAGGAGTTTACATGCAATAGGAAAGGGAGGCGCTAGAGGCACACATGTGACAGGAAGGTACAGTACACAACAAGATGGGTGGGTTCCAAAGTCAAGATGGCGGCCTGACCTTGTTTGCCTCTGAGCTCTTCTCCGGGGGAATAATCTATGATCTTTATCAGAACGAAGTGGGCCCTACTGGGGTGGGACAGACAATAGGGTCCGATACTCTGTTTGGCAAGTAGCCTTCAAGCAGTTAACCATCAAGCGTCTATAGTAGCAACCATGTGCTTGCAAGTGCCTTAGGATTGGCCTTATTATGGGGGGAAGGGGGGCGGAATCGTGGGGAATAACTTTTACTTAGGAGAATGTGAGTGGGACGTATCTCCAACCTACGAATGTGAAGGCCTCCCTCCACCGGAGTCCCTCGGAGCTCAGTCGCCCCCCGACACAGGTAGGCATTCTCTGTGACCCCGATGGGACCTCCTGGCGACTGGGTTTTGCTGGCACGTTCCCCTAAAACCAAGGGTGTGCCGTGCACCTGCGACATTGTATCAGGAGACGAGAACACAGAGACTGTCCCCCGGGTGCTCGTCATCTGCTCAGGATGGAGCGCTCTGGCCAGGTAAAGCAACAGCGTGGACGGGGACGTTGGTTTAGCAGGTGTGCGTTGAGCGCACGTAAGAACCATCAGGAAGGTGATGCAGGGCCGGGCGGTGTGTCCTCCTCTTGTACGTGCGGCCGGGTCGGGTCGCTGT